TAGAGAGCATTGAAATAGCCCCAGTTGTCTCAAAAGTGTCCATTCGCTTTCTGAAGGTATCATCTAACCCAGAGGTCAACAAACTTTTTCTGTAAAAAGCCAGATAGTAAATATTTTTTACTTTGCCAGTCGTGTGTCCTCTGTTGCATATATTCAAATCTGCCATTGTAGTTTGAAAGCCATCATAGACAATATCTAAAGGACTGGGTGTGGCTGTGTTCCCAGAACACTTTATTTACAAAAACAGACAATGGACAGACTTTGGCATGCAGGTTGCAATTTGTCAATCTCTGATTTAACTCATTACTTTATTCTCTATATATTTAGTAAGGTTGCTTTAAAGCCTTGATTAGATTTGGGGGCAGTTTTTCTTGTGGCAAGACTACTTCATAGGGAGTGCTGTGTGCTTCCTTTCACATCCCTTTCGAAGGTACATAATGTCTGTCCGCATTTGGGTAAGGCCTGAATCCATCACTGTAAACTTTCTGACAGCCTTTTGTCTAATGTTTTCATCTGTTATGTTTGTTGCCTAAATCAGTCATTTCATAGAAGTTGCAAAATAATAATTGTCTCTTTCTATTATTCCATTTACTTTCATTAACCAGAATACTTCTATAGGGACGAACTTTCTGGTATCAATGAGGGATTTCAGTTCCACTGAAATACAGTTTGTATAGGAACACTTTTTATAATAAGAATACATGCTAATTCTTTCATTCTTTTAATTGCAAATTTTCAATCAACAGAATTGGTCCCTAAATCACTTTCAATTATTTCTAGGGAACTAAGAATTTGGGGAGTGAAAGGCACCTTTCTCACTCTTTTTTGTTTGTTTGTTTGACTGTGAGCTCACAGATTTTTTTATACATCTAATGATTACCAGTCATCCACATTTATTATTTTTTGATGTTCAGATTATTTCATTCATTCGTTATACCACCATGCCTCGCAGGTTTTATAACTTAAAAGGTTAAGAATTTAACAACCTCAACAGAAGATTTTTTTTAATTTAGCAAATACACTTAAAATGATATTTATATTTTTTGAAAAGTACTTAGACACATATTCTTCATAATTGTAAGTAGAATAACTGTACAGTTATGAAATATATGCCATATCTCAAAAAAGAGCTTGCAATATAAAGAGGAAAAAACAGAATATAAAAAAAATTCTTTTATCAACATCTAGGCCTCAAAATTGTAATAGTTGTCTGTTTTTATACGCCTTAGCTTCATTTTTATTTTCCTTAATGACAATTTGGAAACAAGTTCATGGGTATATTTTTATAGTTCTTTAGATAGACCACAACTTCTGGAGTTCCTGGATCTGTGAGTATTATTTCTATTACCCTTAATTCTTTGTTGCCAGATTTTAGGCAAATGACAAGACAACAACAACAAAGGAACCTATTCCTTAATATAAATTGAGAAGGAGGTGTAAATTAACCTCCTCCTCTGTAGAATTGTGATCATTTAGATGTAGCCTAGATCAGAGTAATTTACCTGAGTTCCACCAGAGGCCATCTTGAACCCATCTAAATGGGATTTAAATGAGTGGACTCCAGAAGGAAATTATCTCATATTTTGAAATGAACCACACTGCAAAACATATAAAATGGTCCTCTTTTAAAAAAATAAAGTTATACTTACCATGAATAAAGGAGAAAGTAAAAACTCAACTATGTAAGAATTGTATGTGTGTGTTTATGTTTAAAATTTCTCTCTCCAATAGACCACCAGTCTTTTACATTCTATTCCTACAGTCTTGGAACAAAGCTTCCCTTATGGCAAAACCAGTCTAAAATGTTCCTTCTTTTATTAGGTATTCTGGACTTTTGAAATATTTCACACTTTTTTGGCAGATCATTCAGGATTCCTGCCATTTCCAGCCCAGAAACAGTTTCCTCATGGTGTCATATTAGAAATATTTGCTATTGAAAATTTATTTGTGTTGATATAATGTTATAAAAGCTAGAATTATAAATATTATGTTTATAAATCTAGAAATACCCCAGGGCAAATTTAGCAGTCAGGATAGCATCAGAAAACAGAAGGCACACTCAAAAAGTTTAACTGAAGCAGGTTTAATAAATAAATCTCTGATATGTGCTTAGTCTACCTGTAGTTTAGCATTGCAAGATTAGATATGAACAGTTAAAGAACATCAGCTTGATTTTACTAGGCTTAGAATCTCAGACTAAATATGAACTAAGAATATTTTACATTGAATTTTGAATTATCTTCATTTGAACTGGGCTCAGCTTCCAGCTGTGGCCATGAGGAGGAAGAGAGGGGGTATGAAGAGCCTAGAAGGAGCCCTAAACAAGACTTGAGAAGAGAACCTCTTCAGTGCTACACAAAGGAAAATACCTCAGGTGCCATGGATGACCAGATGACTGTCCAGCACATGAAGCTCAGTGCCTTTACTGGGGTCTTATTTTGCACAGCTTGAAGTATGCTCTCTGTAGTAAGAATATTAATGGCCCTGCCCTTTCTGAAACTGGATTCTTTATTTAGTGTTGGGTCTATTAGACAAAACAGGCAAATGCCCTAGGCTTCTGTGAGAACCCAACAATTTTCTTGGGCATGAGTTTACTTTAACATATTTGCCAGTTACAAGAATTGTGCATTGTAAGTGGTATATACCCAACTACTTTTAACTTACTGATATGCTCCATCATGATGGGGTCCAGGTACATAGTCATTTAACTGATGAAAGACCCATGTATTATATTCCTGTTCTTTCCCTACTCAATATGAAGCACAATAGTAGACAGTTAAAAGATGATGATATAGTGGCTCAAATCCTGGAAGATGTACCTAAAGTTCAAGATTTATTTAGGTGTTAATTTTCTCACTCTCTGCTCCTGGAGATCTTGGCTGTAAATACTGATGACAGGTGGGGCACCACACTCCAGGTGAAAAACTGTTCCTGTCTGTTCTACACTGCTACCACTTTAAATAATTTCAGTTTCCAATTTTTAACCAGATTCCAACAGTTAATCCTAGAAATGGCTAGTACTGAAAACACGGTGTATTCATATCCTTTCCTTATATAACTCCAGAAAAAATGGTAATAGAACCAAAAGCATAATTTTGACAGCATTCCTCAATCCTAGAAATTGTTTTATTTTATCACCATGAGTCTGAGAGCTTTCAAGAAAAAAATGAGTTTTAGGGTAGACATTCTGAACATGGATTTTTATTTGGGGGGTACATTTCTCTTTCAAGAGAAGTAATTTATGAAACCAACTCATAGGGAAAGAATTTGAAAGGCAATTGGTAATTTTGAATGATTAGATTTCCTTCGTTTGAGTTTAGCTGCTTTGGGACAGGAATCAAGAAAAAAGAGGCTTTCCAGAGGCAATTTGCAGACCTGTTGAACCTTATGAAGTTTCTGGAATTTGTCTTAGTAATTAGCAGCTTTGCACCTCTAGAAAGGAGCTCGAATTTCTTTGGGTTGAAGCCTGATATGTGCAAATATGAGGGAAAGGCAAGGGCGGTGAGCAATGAAATAGCCAGCAAGGGTACTCATCACTCTGCCATTCAGAGCCAGAGTATCTTCAGGAGTTCAGGAAGAACAGAGAACGTTTAAAGGAGCCCAGATACATCAGGCATGAACAGTATACTAAAAATCATCCACTTCCAGAAACATACCAGGATTTGAGTCTATACAAATGCAGCATTGAATGTATGCAAATATACTCAAAAGTTGAAAAAGAGTTATCAAGAGAAATAAATCATTGTATTAGTGCCAAATTTACTTTGTTCCAGGAACTGGGATATTTCATAATAAAAAGTGAAATAAAGGCCAAAAATGAAGCAAGGGCCTTTTTTTTTTTTTAGATGGACTGTAGCAATCAGTATGTTCTACTCAGGCCTGGTTCTGTTTCTACCTTTATTCAAGCTGTGGAGTTCTAAGATAGTCTTTGATAGATGGCAAATTATTTTAGTTTCCTTAGTGTTCATAAAAATGTAGTAGTTCTAAGAGTTATGAGTACTAAATGTCTTTATTCATTCTTTTGTCTAATTAGCTAGTAAAGTAATTCTGGCATTAAAATATTTTCGTATAATAAAGAATTATATAATAATGAAAACTTGCCACTAACTGATCAGTTTGAGTAGGCATACTTTGAAGTCATATTGGTTTGTCTTTGAAGTCCAATATAGTTCTGTTCATCAAAGTATAAATGAATTAACTAACCATAATAAATACTTTAATAAATATGGAAAGCATTTATAGGAGGTGGCAGTACAACTTTCCTGTTTGCTTAGTAAGAATCTACTTGGGTCGCTTCATATTATGCATATTAACTAAAAATAATGATCCTGGTAATAATCTGTTACTTGAAAGTTAAGGCAACATTTCTAATCTAGATATCATTTTTATTTTTACTGGTTTATTTCTGACAGTAATATATCTGATTTATCTATTTCGGGTTGCATGTATATGATATAACAAGATCCCTTCTTTCTGCTTCCTTGAACTCTAAAGCCTGATGTTTTATCTATCAAACTATTAATCATTTGATGGGCCAAGTGATCAAAACATGGAGGTGGTCAATAATATCCAAGTAACTTTGTTTTCCTAACATAAACAAATTGTGAAGGGTTCAAACTAAAGATAATGAGTTTTTCTGGTGAACTTCTTATTACTAACACTGTCTAAAAATCTATGGACATAGACGACCCAAAATTATACTATGTAAAGTATTAAAAATGATCATATCTTTATGTTTTGACATGGTGAACATTACAGAAATATTTGTGATCAAAAAGCTTATGAGAGTATGCCTTAAAATAGTTGATACTTTCTTTGTGAACATGAGTGACCAGAATATAAAAGAAAAGTCATTAAAGAAGACTCATACACAACAGTTAACCTGGGGCATCATAAGCAAATACATGTGTCTGAGCACACATGTGTAAGCACTATGGTTTCTCCTTGCCATCACTGATTTTCTCCTCATCATTAAACACTTCTTGATTCTTGTCTTCTAGATGACACAGGCTGTCCTAGTAGCCAGTCAGTATCTCCTGTGAAGACGCCATCAGATGCTGGAAATAGCCCCATTGGCTTTTGCCCTGGAAGTGATGAAGACTTTACCAGAAAGAAATGCACAATTGGAATGGCTGGTGAAGGAAACATTCAGTCAACTCGATACAAGAAGGAATCAAAGTCAGGCTTCGTGAAGCCAGGTCAGTATGCTTATGCTTCAGGTTTTCATCATAGCAATATGACCAGAGTGACTGCACATTTGAAACAAAATGTCTGTCTGAAGCATATTTATATATATATATATAAAATATATATGTGTGTGTTTATATATATATGAAATTATATATATATACATATATATATATATAAATTTTTATTTTTTTGAGTAGGGTTCTCACTTTTTTGCCCCAGCTGGAGTGCAGTGGCATAATCACAATGATCATGGCTCACAACAGCCTTGAACACCTGGGGTCAGGCAATTCTTCCATCTCAGTAGCTGGGGCTACAGGCACACACAACCATGCCTGGCTAATTTTTTTAATTTATTTTTTTTAGAGACAGGGTTTCACTATGTTGCCCAGGCTGGTCTTGTCCTCCCAAAGTGCTGGAATTATAGGCATGAGCCGCCGCACCCAGCCCAGAAACATCATTTTTAAAGGAGGTGGAGAGTGAAATAATTTCTGAAATAATTGTTAAAAATTAAGTATAATGATATATCTATTCATTATAAAGAGATTTTTTTTAAAGGAGCAGAGCTGAGGAAATATCATCTGGATGTTCTGACTGATATTTAAACTATATGATTAATTCTAGCTTAAATTATACTAAGCCATTACTTGGTACCTTCTTAAGTGACCACAAATTATGAAAAAGACAGATTATCTTGATGCAGATTTATAGAGCTGGGTATAATTGCTAACCTAGTTGTTTCATTTTCTTTGAGATTTAAATACGAGTATGATGTTATGTGTATATACATATAGATGTTCAATAATTGCAAAATGTTAGAAGCTATAAGCTGCAATGGAGATAAGTATTGCAATGAATGAAATGTCATGCACATCAGAAAAAGTCAATTCACAGAATCTGCACTATGTAAATAAATATTTTGTATCTCAGAAATACATATATATACACAGTATATAAACAGAGACAGTTTTAGAAAAGCTAAAGTGATAACTTTAAGGAAAAAGGACATGAGTATTGGCACTGGGAGACATCCTCTCTAATCCATTCTTTTTTTTAACAAAGTTATACTGTACATGTTTATGAGATGAAAAGACAGATTAATGGTTTGCATGAGTTCTCATTCTTGACATTTGTCCTCTAATTTCTGCGATGACAGTACTGTGCGAAGAGCTGTAGAAGGTTTTATCTTGATGGGACCAGCGCTTGGTCCTTGTCTTCCATTGGATGCTAGCATCTCTGCTCTTGTTCTTCCTGGATTATTGATATGTACAACGTCTTAATGGATTATTCTTCACCTTGCTTTTGGTCAACCCAAGAGAAGGTCATTTCTTCACAGGGCGAAACTAAAACTATGTGAAAAAGAAACTCTCTTATCTCCTAATGGTACCTGATGTCAGTCGTGATGAATTTGTTAATAATCCCCACCTTGGAATAATATGTTAAAGAAAAAGAATATGCCACAATGGGATGTAAAGACAGCACATAAAAGAGAAAGATTTAATTGTACAAAGGGTGTTGGGTACCCAATGAGTTGAAGATGTCATGAAATGATAGCCAAAAAATAAAACCATTACCTTGTGTATCCAAGGTCAGGACTACCTCTCTTCCCCCCTTAATGCAATTGTCTTTTTTAAAAAATGAGATTTAATTCAAATACCATAAAATTCAGCCCTTAAAAGTATGCAATTCAGTAGCTTTTTGTCTGTTCAAACTGTTGTACAAAGTCACCATTTTCTGATCCCCAAAACTTGTGTCACCCCTAAAAGGAAACCCTATACTCATTAGCAGTCACTCTCTACTCTCCTTTCCCCTAGTCCCTGGGAAGCACTAACCTACTCTCTGTCTCTATGGATTTGCCTGTGTGGACACCTCTAATGGCATTATACAATATGTGGCCTTTCATGTGCTACTTCCTTCTCTTAGAATAATGTTTACCAGGTTCACCAGTGTAGCATGTATTAGTACTTCATCCTTTTTATGACTGAATAATATTCCACTCTATGGATATACAACATTTTAAAATGGACATTATTTTTTTTTTAGCAATTTTGAGTTTACAGAAAAATTAAGCACATAGTATAGAGAGTTCCCATATACCTTTCCTCACTAACGCTACCTCCAGCTTCCCCTACTATTAACATCTCACCTTAGTGTAGTCTTACACTCCATTTTGTTTATCTGCTCATCAGTTGATGGATATTTGAGTTGTTTCCATTTCTTGGCTATTATGCATATTGGTGCTGTGAATATTTGCATGCAGGTTTTTGTGTGAATGTGTTTTCAGTTCTCTTGGAGATATATAACTAAGAATGAAATTGCTGGGTCCTGTGGTAACTCTATAACTCTATGTTTAACTTTTTGATGAATTGCCACAGTTTTCCAAAATGACTGCTCCTTTTTTTTTGTTTGTTTCCTCATGATCTTACTCTGTCACCCAGGCTGGAATGCAGTGGCATGCTCATGGCTCACTGCAACTTCCACCTCATGGGCTCAGGCAATTCTTCTGCCTTAGCCTCCCAAGTAGCTGGGCTTGCAGGTGTACACTACCATGCCCAGCTAATTTTTTGATTTTTTTATAGAGACAAGGTCTCATTATGTTGCCCTGGCTCTTTTCGAACTCCTGGCCTCAAGCAGTCCTTCCACCGTGGCTTCCCAAAGTGCTGGGTTAAGGCATGAGTCACTGTGCCTTGCCAGCGCTCCATTTTATACTCCTACCAGCAATGTTTAAGGGTTCCATATGCTCGGTAACACTTGGTATTGTCTTCCTTTCTTACTACAACCATTCTAGTGATGTGAAGTGCTATCTCACTGTGCTTTTAGCTTACGTTTCCCTGATGGTTAATGATGACAAGCATCTTTTCACATGCTTATTGGCCATTTGTATATCTTCTTTGGAAAAATGTTCTCAGTTTTCTCTTGATTTGGGAGTAGTAACCAGTGAAATCTGCATCTCTAACATGTTCAGATGTAAGTTGAAGAGCAGGAGCCCTGTCTGTCATCTTTTTTTGCATCCCTAGTGCACAAGCCCTCCTCAACAGCGAAGGTAGGCTGTGGGATTGAGAAGATAAGATGGTGCAGGAAAAAATGTCAACTCTATGCAAAGAAAGAGTAGGTTTCCTCCTAAAGCTATTGTAGGATTTGAGTGCAACTGAAATGATTTCATTGTTGTTGCCCTCCCCCTCACTCCCACCTCCTCATTCATTTTATGGTGGTGACAATACAAGGAAACAGGAGACAAGTGTGGTGCAGACCAAAAAAAAGTGTATTTCATTTATTTATTTATTTTGAGACAACATCTCACTGGCTAGAGAATAGAGATGGAATCATTGCTCACTGCAACCTCCAACTCCTGGTCTCAAGTGATTCTCTCACCTCAGCATCCTGAGTAGCAGCTGGGACTACGGGCATGCATCACCATGCCTGGCCACTAATTTAGAAAAAAAAAATTGTGTAGAGACAAATTCTCACTATGTTGCCCAGCCTGGTCTCAAACTCCTGGTCTCAAGCGATTTTCCTCCCTCAGCCTCCCAAAGCCACTAGGATTATAAGCATGAGCCACCACAACAAGAAGAACTAAGCTTAAATGAGAGTTAAGATTATCCTTGCATTTTCTTGTTTTAATAATCATAGTATCGTATGTGACCATCACACTTAAAACTCTATATGTATATGTAGAACTCATACTGAGTAAACCCCTAATCCTGCAGAAGGCACTCATTTGCTAAAGATCAGTCACTTGCTGAGGATCATTACAGCCTTAGGTCTTCATGAAGAAATTTCTGGGAAAAGAATTTAAAAAAAGAAGGATCAAAGGAAGGAGCAGGATGGGGATGGGGATGGGGGTAGGGGAAACAAAGCCCAGTTTTTCTCAATGCTGTTTTGATTGATGGAGACTTGAGAATCACTAAGGCTGTGGACCCATACTCCAGAAGAATGCCCATGTGCACAAAATATCACATACTATATCAGAGATTTCATAGGTCTCCTTCATTAGGATTTATGAATCCTAGTTTAGTGACCCTTGCCTATAGACACAGTCTGAAACAACCACTTTTGTCAACTGCTTCTGATTTAATTGCTCATAGGCAAAAAGATCACCTAAGCAGTTCGTTTCTGGTCATCTTTTTATTTACTTGTGTTCAACCTAGGTAAAGGGATCTTTAAAGTTTATGTTTTAGTTGCCTGACATTTTTAGCTGAAATTAAGTTAGCAAGTTGCTACAGCTTTTGAAAGTGACCCAATTCTGTACATAAGTCCTTTGTGTTTGAGAAAAATCTGCACCGTGACCTATAGTTCTCTGAACTTTTAGCAGAATGTTGGTCTCATAAATATGAAGAGAGGAAATCCTGGAAGCGAGGCCCCTGGATGACTCTAAAATTTATCAAATGCAGAGACCTCATCTGTTAAAACACAAGAAGATGCTGCTCTCAGGTCAAGATGTCCTGCCTCCTCATAGCTCCAAGTGACCATCTCCCCTCAGCCCAGATGACCTTCAGCTCTTGGTGCACGCTCTACTTTTTAAAAATAAAATTGGCTCATTAAAAACAATACCAACGTATGAAAATAGCAAGCAATTAGTGGTTCTCACAGACATACTCCGGGGCTCTTTAACGTTAAGTAACTGAAGCACATTTAATTTTAGGTACGTAGTTCTAGATTCTGGGACACCGCTTTTCTCCTCAGGAAGGATTTACTGAAATGCCCCTTTGACCATTAAAATAAAGAGCTAATAATGTTTCCTGAGTATGTGATACAGAAGGAGAAGGAAAATGTGTCACAGGATGCCGGGAAGGGCTTGGAAAGGTGAGCGAACAAACCCCTACTTTGCCAACAGAGCCCCATGTCCACACAGCAGGAAAGCCCTTCCTGCCTCCAGGCGGGAACTCATTCTGGAAACTTCTTGGAGGCAGTGAGCCTTCTGTCATTTTGGCTTCTGTCACTTAATGCCCATGCAGGTTTAATTAAAAACTGCCACCAAGGAGCAAAAGAAAACGTCCCTACAATCCAGTTG